GGTAATGGTACAAATATTAGAATAAAAATCCAAGTTCATGAAAGAATATTGGAGCCAGTATATTATAAAAAAAATACACTTGTGGTGAGAGCTGTCTGCTAGCCGAATTTGTAGACACCAATTTGCATCAGTCTTTGCGTCCCTAATTGGGGTCATGAGATAAAACAATAACAAAGCCTAACCTTGAGGAACTCAACAACCAATCACAGCAGACCTCGCTTGGGCGGATACGATTCGCAGATATATCATCGGACTGTCTAAGAAACGGCAATAAGGAGATGACAGAATAGCCTTCAGCAGGAAAACAAGCAATCAGAAGACGTTGCTTCTCTGCTAACAATAACGCTAATAATAATGTGCATAAAAATTCATAAATATCTGTTGATTTTCTCAATAAACGGTCTGTTGTCTGACCCTTGTCTTCTGGCTCTACACACTTAAAGAGTTGGAGAAGAAACTCATGGTTACTTGGCGATACATTTAAAGTCTACTGCTACAAATTTTCAATATAATCGAGAGAAGCGTTCATTGGTGGAGTCTTGTCTACTAGTGGAAGCTGTGCACCGGTTGTAGAATAGTAGTCTTCAGACGGGGAGGAGGGGTTCTTGCAAAGTGTAAAGGAGACACAACACGGTTGGTAGTGATGCGAGTAGACCAGTGAGAAGATGAAGCGTCGAGCAGCCCACTGTATATCAGATTGTACTCCGAAGTTATGTATATTTTATAATGAATCATAATGAACAAAAGTTGTGTACAATGTTTCCATTTGCAAACTGTACGATCATATTGCTCCAGACTCCTCCACACCCTTGAATGATAGTTCAATATTTTGACAGCTTTCTTCACTACGCACTTTGTCTTTTCAAAGGACAGTCTGTCTTCACTGTGACATACAATGAATTTTCCGGTTATCCATTAGCCAATAAAACTGAATATGTGTATGCTGCATAGCTCATTCATTAATTCAGTCAGAAAGATCAGTTAAAATACCAAGGAGCATTGGACTGTTGTTTCGTCCTATTCCGGAACTCTTCATCAGCACCTACGAATCCGCCAAGGATCCAACCCGGGTTCTTCAGGTTGTGATATGAGATACCAAGCACGCTGAAGACTATTCAGCCACTTGGACTGGGATTCAACACCTCTGAATGGTAACTATGTCAACTCGTGATACAGCACTGCCCTCGTCAATGCCTTCAGTGAGCATCCACTCTATCTTGACATGGCGGACCGCACCGGTCACGAACGGCTTCCCACTGTAGCTTCAGAAAATGCACCTAGTAGGTATGCAGTGCTCCCTGTGGAGGGGGGGGGGTTGATGATCTTCCCAACTGCTGTGGGTTTGTGACGAAAATCCAACAGGTGTAATTAATTTTCAAGAATTTGTTTCAAGTTTGATCACCGGTTGATATCAGTTAGAGGATCAATAAAAACCAACTGAGAGTACTGGACAGCTGTTTCATTACAGTTTCGAATCCATCAGCAGTATTCACCTAGCAGTGTTCGAACCCCAGGACCTTCTGGTTGGTCGCGGTTAGTTACGAATTGGTAGAATTTAGAGCTCATGCGCGATTGATTCTGGTCTTATTGTCTGAATGGACTACGAGATTGACTTGTAACTGGAAATCCCTGCGTTCGACACTCGGTGAGTGCGTACTCTCGATGGGTTCAAAACCAGTACGAAACAACTGTCCATTACTTTCTGGTTTTCAATGGTTCTCTGACTGATATCAATCTATGGTCAAACATGGAATTATAATTAATCTAAAGCACCCACAATTCCTATAATCCGGATGATATTATCATTATTGGATATTACACAATAGGTGAGTGCTTATTAGGTTGGATAAATTTGGACTTGCCTACTGAGTTGCATAGAAACTGTAACCTAGTTCAATAGGAATTATTTTGGTATAATACTATATACTACTGATTATCTGATATGAGTAGTTGACTGCAAACTGCTCAATCTATTAACACTACTAACAAATAAGGAAGGTATATACAGTTTTACCGAATAAGGAAGAAATATCGGAAATCCTACATAGGATTCTAAATAAAGTGGGAATTAGGATTTGACGTTCAAGTCTACAAAGTCACTCAAGGAGGGGCTCTTGTAGGCTAAATGGACTCTATTGACCCCATCAAGAGAAAGTAATTACATGTGAAAAGTACCCTACAATGAATGAAGTCAATTAACAAGGGTGTCAGAGCAATAGGTTGAGTTCGGTCAGGTTATTGGAACACAAGAATTTGGCTGAGTGTAGAATGATTGATCCCACGAAGATGAGTAGCTTAGAGAAAAACTCAACAATTACAATGTATGCAAGAATACATAATCATATAAGAGGGTGGAGCAGAGCTATAGTCCTAAGAAGTAGTATAAGTAGGTGGAGAGAGAAAAAGAGATGATTACTGAATCTTTGTTTTTCGAGTCTATGCCTAACACGTGCAGTAGGAACGACGCTGCACACTGATACCATAGGTATGGGAAATATTAAATACCAATAAAATCAAAGGATGACAAATAATGGAATTGTATAAACAAGGTTTCAAAGTTATGCTAGTCAGCAACTCGATATGATTATGAGCAATAAACTGTTGTCGAAATGTGTCCACCAGTGAATAGTAGTGTATCACTCTGTGCTCTGTATGAAATAAAATCGTTCTACAGTGGAGTTACACTCCTAGTTATCAGACCTGGTACAGCTGAGGATGGGTAGACTTTGATCTTCCTGTCAAAATGCTATCATGTGCCTAAGCGTTCATAACCTCCACCGTAAAAGTCCTATTCACTGCCTTCACTCATCAGGGATATTCTTCACAGAGTGATACGGCTAATCTGGATGTCTGGCACCGGTAGAGTTGGCGATGTCTACCTTTTGGAAGCTGGTAAACCCTAATTCTACATGGGCAACAAAATCCGATTGGATTGAATGATGTGTATGAGCCTGTTTGTAGTCACTGGTGTCTATGGGAAAGCTCCTGATGCTGCTCTACTGACGTGTGTGGATCAGATTTCAAGTCAAAGGCCCGGGTGTGTCCCCTTAAAAGAGAACCATGCACTTCAGTCTGTGCATCCGGGCGGTAGGTATCCCAGTGCTCATACAAACTATGCGATTTTGTCTGGTGCACCTCCGAATGCCCATAATGTACCGAATTTGGGCGATAATAATAATAATAAATTGCAGTCTCAGTCCAGCTACTTATGCAAGAGTTAGTAGTCTAATGTAAGTTAACGTCAATTTCCGCTATCATTTCTTGGAAAACACGGGAACAGTTAAAAATGAAATTTGTTGAAAGGATAAAAGATTTAAATGTTGACAATAAATTCATGATATCATTTGACGTATCTTCCCTACTCACCAATGTGCCACTTATGGAAACAGTGAACTTTGTATGCGAAGAACTCATAAGACGAAACATCGATGTTGGCATTCCTATATCTTTTATGAAAGAGCTTCTCTTGAAATGCACAATGAATGTCCAATTTTTATATAATAAGCAACTATATAGACAAATCAACGGTGTGGCAATGGAGTCACCATCAGGACCCATTCTATCCGACATTTTACTTGAGAAAATAGAAAATAGGCCTCTGAAGGATGTTATTAATGAACTTGAATTCTATTGTCAGTACATGGATGATACATTTTTCATTATGAAAAATAAGGAGGAAGCAAATAATATCCTGGATAAATTTAAAGAGGTTCATCGTGCAATAAATTTTTCTATTGAGAAAGAAAAGGACTCTAGGATTTCATTTCTGGACGTCCATATGACCAGAAAAGAGGATGGCGCAATAAAAAGAAGTGTATATAGTACACCTTCATCAACGGGTCAGTATACTCATTTTTCAGCTTCGTGCCCTTGAAATACAAACACAATCTGATAAAGTGCTTGGTCCGTCACAGAGCAAGAGAGCAATCTGCTTGGATGAATGTCATGATGAAGAAATTAATAAAATTAAACGGTTGCCGAGTGAAAACAGTTATCCAGAGATGATTATTGATAAGAATATGAATCTAAAATCAAAGCAGCAGCCCAGGGTACCAACAGTTCCTAAAAAGGCCTTACTCTTACAGATGCAGTTCCTAGGAGACAACTCCAGTGAGATACTAACACAGCGCCTTAAAAATGCGATAAAAAGAGCATTCCCTGGTGCTCAATTACGCTGTATCTTTAAAACCACTCCTCTTCTGCGTTCTGGAATAAAAGACAAACTGCCTAATTTCGCCTCTTCCATGTGTATCTACCAATTTAACTGCTCCTGTGGAGCCAGTTATATAGGCCGTACAATTAGGCGTGTTTCTCGTCGAATTTCCGAACATCACCCTGCCTCGTTAAGCAAAGGACAAACAAAATCTATTCGCGGCGCTATTCTGTCTCATCTTCTGGAGACAGAACACAAGATAGACGTTAACCATGCTTTCAGGGTAATTTACCGCATACCTACAAATCTCAATTTTGCCTTAAGAGTTCGACCACTAAATATTGCTGAGGCTGTTGGGATCCATATTAACAAGCCTAATTTGTGTATCCAAAAGAAGTTAGTTCAGACATTATCATTACCTTGGCCATCCAGGTTTGAATGATTCTGAGTTTTTATGAAATTTTCGTAATTTTAGTTGATATTCTATTTGCTACTATATCTTTATTATTATTATAATCTAAGCACCTTTAATGAACTGTAATTGCATTGATCTTACTTTACAAGTTCGATATTACCTAAAAAAAAACACTAATATTGTTATTGACTACTAATCTAGAATATTCTATGTATATAGACATGCGTGTATAATTGTAGAGCCAGAAAGAAGAGGAATTTATCGAAAAGGATATTCTTTGCTCAATTATTTTGTGTTTTATAAAATGAATTTAGTGAACTGTACTCACCGATTGTAATGCAGCATTTGTCTCCTTATATACTACTTAATTGTATGATATACGTATCATGTGTAATTTTTATTATTATTATTATTATCCCTGATATTGTATAGCTTATGCAAAAACGTGATTTAGAAATAAAACTATCTGAAGCAAAGTTGAACAAAGCTCAATGTGTACTGGATCAAGAAAAGGCCAAAAATCAACAGAAGATTCTTCAATTAGAAGAAGAAATCAAATCTTTAAAAAATCGTTTAGATCTTCAAGTAAAAATTGAAGAAAAGTTGAAAGAACAGGTAAAGATATTTCTTCGTTTTGTCTCTCTCTCTCCCTATAATAATAATAATAATGCTAATCTACTTTATTCCAAAAGCGGTACTTATAATACAGAATGGAATTCTCAGCATTTGTCACAATACCTTGCATCTGATTTACTGAAAATATAAATAAAATTGAAAATTAAAACAAAATTAACCAGAAGAACTTGTCCACATTTGCGGTACAAAGTCAAAAATATTCGTAGTAGGAATTGAGAATATTAAATATAATAATAATAATGGTAGTAATAACAGTGAGTTTGTTTCAAACAGTATTGTCGATTCAGTTTGGAAATTTTAGCATGTTATAGATTATTGAATCTAATGTTCTGTTGATACAGTGTGGTAGAGGGAAATATAAAATTAACAGTTATTACACAGCTTAAATGATGTTCACACTTATGAAAAAAAATAAACAATTAAAAACAAAAAATTGGTAGGATTATAAATATACGAAGAACAATAACAATAAAGGTTGATGTTGTAAAGGTGGAGGAAATGGTTTATTTGATAGTGCAAAGAATGCTGGTTAGTTAGTCCCTGACGCTGTTTTCATCACATAAAGTACGTGCTGCCGAATATGGTATGGTGAAACTTTTATACTTAGACGCGCGAGTGTAAAGTCTTTTGAAAAGACTTTTACCTGAGGAAACACACAAGGTTGAAGCTGCGGGTAAAAAGTGGGTGCTCACAGTCTGACAAAATTCCTTTAGCAAATTTGTTGCATGACATCAAGTGCCTATCAATGACAATGTCGCCCTGCCGACAGTCTTCAGAGTTCTACGAAGTGTGACGTAGTCTTTTTAAAGCAATCTAGGAAAGAATAAGGGTGAACAGTAAAGAAGAATGCACGAGTTGACAAACTGTAAGCGGAGGAGGAGTTGAGTTATGCCTGAGTGCCTTAACTTCATAATGTATAAAGTCAGACGAAATATTCTTTTAGAAATCGCTAAGATGTGTGGGAAGACCAGGCTAGGTCAGAAGAAAGAATTAATCCAAGATACTTAACTTCAGACTTGATTTCTATATGCTCACTATCATCAATTTTGCAACGGTCATAGGAAGCAACAGCTTCATCATTTAACTTTCGTTTACATCGGAAACTGAAATTAACAGTCTGACTTTTGGAAGGCTTTAGTTTAAGACAGACCATTAGACGAAGACAATTCGCTAACTCCTGATAGTAAGCTGTTCATCTTAGAACAGTCAAGCTGGGAGTTAACAGACATTGAAATAGTTAGATCGTCCGCATACTTAACAAAGTTCATATATTATGGTGTATCTAAAATATGCCTGGCTTTAATGCACAGTAGTGTATATATAGTACTGACTAATTCATGTGAATAAGTAGTAGTTGGGCACTGCTACTTATATGTGTCCAACCAGTATCGACATGTTTGATGACAATCAGTGTCAGAGATGTGTATTGTCTCCCCATTTTTGTTTAACATTACCAATAGATATATGCTCATATCTAACTAACTAACCTTGTAACAAGTCTTCTTGACTTGGGGTATGCGAATGATATTTCCCTCCTTGGTGTGGAATATTCATGCATGCATCATGATTTAAAAGTCGGTTTGCATGAAAGATATTCCTATCATGTGTTGATTTACAAGGATTTAACTGCTATGAAATTAGGGAACCATTGAAAATCTGGGAAAATACTTGACAACTTTATCGTCCTAGATTGGGACTCTTCGGATGTATGCACTCATACCGCCACCAGGGATCGTAAATCAAGTTATCAAGTGATGAGACTTTTGACCATTGATTCACTGAGATGGAATCCAATAATCAGCCCATAAATTCTAACCTCTGCTAACTCATGATACACAGAGCAACCCCCATCCATTGTGATTGTACCAACCACCTGCTTCGGCTTTTGTCTCTCCGGGCAGTAAGTGTCCCAGTTTCCTTTACACATACTATGAAATATTGTGTGGTAGATTTCTTGATGCCCACAATGTACCATTTGTTTCTGTTTCATTAATAATATTAATATATTCTGATACCCGATTTGGTGGTTCTCACTGGTCACAACTTCTCACTAGCCTAGCCATCTAGACACACAACTTCTATCCTACACAGTTTGTTGCTGGTCTGTCTGTCTGTTTTCGACATAGAACTTTGCACATATGTGCGGCAGTTCAAATCGCCACACTCCCTCCATGTAGCACACAAAGCAAGAGAAGAAAGTAGGAGAAATGCATAATATAGACAGTAAACAGAGGTGTGAGACAAAGTAATAGTAATAACGAAGAACAAAACAGTTTAATTGGAAATCATAAGTCACAGGGAGTGGATGCATCTACACCAGCCATTGAGAATGATTTTGAGCCATGTCACCAATAGTTTCCAACCATTGGTGTTTACCGTCCCGAGGACCCCAATCAACCAGGAAGTCTACACCTTCCTACGTGGCTTAGACTAACTGTTGTGGATTTCATTGACTGGTGCCATGTTTTGGTTTGACCACCACTAGCCTTCCTTTTTCCGACCTGATCCTGTCAGTCAGCTAACATTGCCCATTGTCGAGGAAGGCGATGACTAGGCATACGTAGCACATGTCCTAACCATCTCAGTCGATGTAATTTCAGTCTCGTCGACTGATTTCCCCTCCTTACCTAGCACTCGACCGGTGCCTCACCTCAATATTGCTCACCTTATTATACCACTTGACGCGGGAGATAGAACGCAGGCATCTATGATCTAAGATAGCTAATCTTTTCATGTCTTCCACTCTCGATGACCAGGTCTCAGAGCCATAAAGGAGGACGGAGCGGACTGCTGAGCAGTACACACGCCCTTTGGTCGATAGTCTGATATCACGTCTACGCCAGAGACGGCGTAAACTGGCATATGCGAAACTAGCCCTCTGTATCCGTGCTGAGCATGAAAGACTGATTTTTAAGTGATGGTTTACAGTGGGTTCTCATTGGTTTACAGCGAGATCATATGAAGTGATATCAGTTTGGGAACTATTGAAAGTACCGGGAATTACTGGAACACAGTTCTCATCCATGTTTTTATTATCGATAGTTGGAACTGTTTTGATTTACACACTTTCTCATGACTAGTACTCACAAAATCTTTTTTCGTTTTTCTTTCTCAATTCATAGATTGTATTTTATAAAGAGAAATACCAATCATTTAATAAGGCAATGTCAGAGAGTCGAAAACTGTTTGACTCTGCTAAAGAGGAAATGGAAAAGGTGAGTATAAGAGAAGAATGACCTATATTACTCTGGCATATATATATTGATTTGGTTGTGTTCTTTGAGTTGGTTCATGTGATTACAAAGCTTTCATTATTCTCCTCGACAGCATTTTCAGCGCAAACTGTGTTATGAAGTGAAGTCATTTTGACTTTTCAATGAATCATGATAAAATTGTATCACATGACAACCATTGTAATGATTAGTTGTCGGTTTACATCTTCATTGGTCGTTTTTATTGACTTGGAAATTGAATTCTTGTGTTATGTGATCTATTCTTTATTACAAATTTGATCACGCATTGATATGAAGCTAAAAGAGCCATTGGAAACTAGCTGGGAGTACTGGACACCTGGTCGTATCGTCCACTTAGTCTGGGATTCATCTGTAGTACGGATCAGAAACTTAGCGGGTCACAAATAATATTTCCAACAGCCTGTTGCAGACCTTTATTAACAACAACTGTCTTCGTTCTATACTGAAGATCAGATGGCCGGAAAGAATCACCAACAAGAAACTATGGGAAGAAACAAAACAAGAACCAATCACCCAACAAATATGCAGGAGAAAGTGGAGATGGATTGGACACTCGCTGAGGAGGCCGTTGGGTGAAATCGCGCGTCAGACCAATGCTCGAGTGGAAGGGAAGCGGCGAGTGGTACGTCCAAGGGTGACATGGAGGAGATCGTGTGAAGAGGAGTTGAAACAGTATGGACTAACATGGATGCAGGTGAAAAGTACAGCAAAAGAGAGAATCAAGTGGAGATGTGTAGTTGGAGCCCTATGTTCCACTAGGAACCTAAGGGAACAATAATAATATAATAATAATTGTTGGATGGTGACTAGCAGTAGAATGAAGGATGTGTATTTCGTCCTATTCGGGACTCGTCAGCCGGATATTTGTTTGTTTGTTTATTTGTTTGTCTGTAACACTGAACACTAAATGTTATTATAATCTTTGTTTTTATTTTTTATTTTTCCCTAAATACGCACATACATGCACACATACATATATACGCATAAACATCATTTAGCTTGGTAAACGTATTCAACGCGGAGAAAGTGATGCTGTTGAATGGCGAGGTAAATGGGAAGTTAGTCAACGTAGTTTACTAGAATTAGCTGAACAACATAAAGAAAAAGTGAATGAATTGAATAGTGCTAATAAAAAAATTGAAAAAATTAGTAATTTATGTAGAGTATTACAAAATGAATTGAATGAACTAAGACAACAACAGCAACACCAACAGCAACAAGAAGAACAACAACCACCGAAGGAACAATCCCACCAACCACAATCACAACCACAACAACATGAGTTATCAAGTGATTCATTCAAGGAGAATTCAACACCTTCTGTTTCTTTACATCATGAAAATGGTGAAAGTGAACATCAAGAAATAAAGAATGATGAGAATACTAGAGATAGAGATGGTCAACAATCCATAGAGTATAATGATACAATTACCACCACCACCGGATCGAATTTAGTTGATCCTTCTTCTTCTTCTGATGATGATGAAAGTGATGATCATGATCAAGCTTATAAATCATCAAATGATAATTCAATTCGTACATTTACTACAACGACAATTACAAATTCGACAACAAGAACAACACATGAATTTAATAGTTCATCAGATACTATTGCTCATTGTACAGGAAATATGCATAAGTTGAAATTGAATCCTGTTAATACTGAAACTGCTACTGCTACTCCTCCTGCTCCTCCTACTGATATTGATACTGATAATAATAGTAGTAATACTGAAAAGGTGAGTAAGTGAGTATACTATATCCATATTTCCTATTTGTTTTTCTTTTCTATGTCATTTGTGTTTTGTTACTGGGACATGAAGCGCTTCGTGCTATGAAGTTTCAGTGATAGTGAATAATAATGCTGCTAACTTCACCGCTTCAATCTTCCCTCTTCCCCCCCCCCCGCCGCCCTACACGGTTGGTGAACATCTTATGTGTCACTTTATACAAGGTATGTAGATGATATTGTAATCATCAGTGATAAGTCTTGTTCTGCTACCTCAATTTAAAATCGAATGAATGAAGTCCAGAATAGCATATCAGTTACATTTTTAGAAGAGGAAGATAATTTCTTATCTTTCCTAGACATATTGCTTATTCGACGGCTTGATGGATCAATAAAAAGATCTATTTATAGAAAAACTACCTGGACAGGACAGTATCTTAATTACCACAGTTTCTGCCCTGTTCGGTACAAAAGAACCTTAGTAAGGTATCCAACGAATATGCACTAAAGACACACTTGATGAAGAAGAAAGAAAGTTAACACAAACTCTGGTTGATAACAATTATCCAGACAAGTTACTCAGGAGATATAAAGTAGTCAGAACACCAAGATTCACTCCCGAACTCACCTCTAAGTAAGACGTGTACATCAAGCTACCATACATGGGGCACCATAGTAGCTTGATAACTAGACAAAGATTGAACGCTGCTGTCTAAAAGGCATTTTATGCAGCTAATATCATAACAATTGAGAATGTGAAGCCAATATATCCATCCATCTAAGCCATTTGAACACGCGAAAAATGATGTCACATCCCACTGTACTTACCAATTTGAAGGTACATGTGGACATACTAACATAGGGAGGACTCATCGATCTCTGCATGAACGGCTGGCTTCAGAGCATATTCCTAAATGGCTCCAGAAATAAATGGAATCTCCAGAACCCACTGACGGTGAGAACAGACGAAAATCTAGCTCCTCTATTGAGAAACATATTATAGAGACAGGACAGAAAATTGACGTTAACACGTCTTTCAAACCTATCAATAAAACGTGTTTAGGGGAGGGCGTATCCTAAAGTTTGTGGGAGCCCTAGCTGCCAATTAGGAAGTTTAAACCATCTTTATGTGTTCAAAGCAACAATCTGTCATCACATTGAACCACCTTCCTTGGTAAACTTTGTTTTGATGCTAGCCAGGGTAGATGTACTATTACCTCTGTTATTTGGTTCAGTGGTCGTCATTGTTATTTGACCTTTAATATGTTCTTTTAACTTGACCTGAGTCTATTTTCTGACCTCTTAATTCGTTATGAATTCCATATACATTCCTATGACAAGTCCGTGTGTAATGGATCCGATTATCTGAAATGTGTTGCACAAATACATTACCAACACGATTCAGACCAATTACGTCTTCTTATCGCTTTATCTGAACATCTTATCGTTGAATCACCATAACGCATTAGTGCTTCATCAGTAGTGGTCCAGGGTTCGGTTCTCAGTCTGCCAATCTCACTGTGATCCAATGGTAGACTCGTTAAAATGAGGAGTAGTTGACTATATGGAGTTAGTAACACTACTTCACCGTCACCCCTGCCCCACCCGCAGCCCTCACTTCCGACTGAAAAGAAAGAATATCACTGCTATTAAAACCTCAAAGCTCAAGCTTGAAGGCCTATATTCCACTGAGAACTGGGAAGGAATATGGAATAAAAAGCCCAGTGTAGACGATAATGAAAAAAGAAATGCATCAATAGATTTATTGATTTGTTAATTTATTGGGTTCTTTTGATGAATATATTAATAGAAATAATAAATGTGAATGTTTGATAGTATAGGTGTGTATGTAGATTCACTTTCCTATGTGGTATGCTTTTACATACAAGAACTGTAGAAGATGTGGTTTTTTATACGTGGATGATTTATGTTTAATGTGACACAAACCTGACAACTTGCAGGCGAAAACCAACAGACTGATAGAAGAAGAATCAAGCATTGAAGACAGGATTCCAGGTGAACACAGAGACGATGGAGGTGACGAAGATAGCCAACCAACCAACCAACAACAACAACAACAAGCACTAATCACTATCAACGGGAGAAATTTGAAAGAGGTCACTTCCTGGCTTCACTAATCTAGGAAGCATTGTTTCAATTACAGGCGGTTGGAACGAGTGAAGATGTCAAAGCCAGCCAACCAGCCAGAATCAGAAAAGCAAGATACGACTTCATCAACCTGAAACTAGTTTGGAAATCTGAGTTAACTAAGCATAAAGAACAAGATTCGGATTTTCAACACAAATGTTAAGTCAGTCAGGTCTTTAATACGGGTCAGAAACTTGGCTGGCTGGCTCCATACTGAGTATCAAATGGCTGGCTGGCCGGTGGGCCAGAGAGAATGAACAACAAGAAACTATGGCTGGTGACAAACCAACTGGAGTGAAGTTATTGGTGGAGCGTGTCGAACATTTCACTTATTTAGAATGTTGCAACAGCTAACGCCCGCGGGTTGATCTCTGACAAAATCTGGCCTAGCAGATGTGATATCCGGCTGTCTGTCGACCGAAAGGCATGTGTACTGCTCAGCACTTTGTTCTGTCCTTCTTTATAGCTGGCTGTGAGACACGGTCACTGAAAGTGGGAGACATGAAGCGGTTAGCTAGCTGTCTTTGATCATAGGTGTCTGCGTTCTATCTCCCTTGTCAATTGGTGGCATAATAAGGTGAGCAATATTGAGGTTAGAGCCCGGTTGAGTGCTAAGTGAGTTGGAGGGGAAATCAATCGATGAGGTTGTGAAGGTACATCTAGTGAAATGGTTAGGACACATGTTACGCATGCCTAGCTATCTTCCTCGACGACAGGCAATGCTAGCTGACTGACAGGATCAGGTTGGAAAAAAGAAGGCTAGTGGTGGTCAAATCAAAACCTGTCAGCAGTCAATGAAATCCACAACAGTTAGTTTAAGCCAGCTAGGTAGGGAGATGTAGACTTCCTGGTTGGTTGGAGTCCTCGGGATAGTAAAAGCGAATGACTGGAGGCAATTGGTGATATGGCTCAAAATCCTTGTTCTCAATGGCTGGCACAGATGCATTCACTCTTTATGATATATTATATCTAATAGAATTCTATTTTTCTCTCATATTACTATTCTGTTTGCCTAACATTTCTATTTATTACTTCTCTCTTCTCTTGCTTTGTGTGCAATGTGGAGTGTGGCAAGTGGAACTGTTGCACATGTGTGCATTGTTCTACGTTGAAACCAATCAGTTAGTCAGTGTTTGTGAAAACTATATCTATCTATCCATCTAGCTAGCTGTCTAATTCGATTTCATAATAAGTCAATATCAGTTAAAGAATTAATAAAGACCAGAGGGTATTGGACATTTTTTTCTTCTATATGCTCACTTCGTCGTGGTTTCAACTCATTGATGAGTGGATCATGATTGTCCACTGATGAAGAGTCCCATACTAGTAAAAAACAAATATAACTTGTGATGCTTGGCTTTTACACGGCTCTTTACACAGAATGCTGCAGCGTCAATTTTCTGCAAACATCAACGCTACATGGATTTATAAACTAATACATACATGAGTGAGTACTGATGATGGGTGTCAAGGAGGGAGGAAGAAACAGCTGTACAGTCACTTCCTGGTTGATTTTCAGTGATTCTCTAACTGATGTCATTTCGTGATCAAATTTTTCATCAATGAGAGCCCTAGAAACCAACGCCCACCAGTGACTGATTACATGATAAGTTGTATTGAGAAGTCGTGAGCAGCGGGGTCCAACAAGTTAGGTATGTATGGACAAATACTCACGGATGACAGTGTCTGAAGGTGGTGCTACATAACACTAGTCGACAGAAGCTAGAATTGGTGGACCAGCTAATGGATCCTGTCCTATTGGTTGAATGGTCAATGGTCTGACTGGTCCCGTTAGCTAAAGGTTCTGGGTAGGGGTGGGGATCGTCGGTGCGCACCGATGAAGAGTCTCAATCTGTGATGAAACAGGTGTCAGGTACTCCGTAATGATTTTCAATGGTTCGCCAACTGAAACCAGTGTGTGACCAAACTTTAGATCATACAGTATAGATGTGAAGATCGGTTCTATTCAGTACATAGAGAATAAGAAGTTGGAATGTTTGTTAGTCTTACTGAAACGCAGACATGATACATAATGGGCATCGAAGGATGTACCACACAAAATCTCATACTTAATGTGACGGCTGGGATACTGCTGGGAAGCGCAGACCGAATCAGGTGGGGACTTAAAGCCTGCTCTGAAAGGTAGTAGAACAGCGTCGTCAGGGTCTGCGTTTTCATGAATGCTGCCGATGCCATCCAATCCTTTCGAATTCCAGAACGCATGTACACCATAGGTTTAGAGTCAAGATTTCCGTCAGCCTCCTCTAAGTAGATCAACATATTTTTTGAACCTGTCCATTTTTACGTGATAGACGTTCGTTTTCACATTGTGTTTCAATTTTGTGAAGGGAGTGAATGTGACTTACATGGCAGAGACTATGAACACGTAGCTGTATGGTGAGCATTTCAAGACGAAGACATAGGGGGCGGGGTCGGGGTAAGAAGTCAAATAGTAGAAGAGTTCAACCTTACTGTTCCTAACATCTTTCTTTCTTTCTTACATTTTTCTCGTTTCAGTAACTTTAAATCCTGAAGTACAGAAATCGATGAAGACATCTGATGAAGACAAATGCCAATAAATTCTTCGAATCGAAATACCCTCAAGTGTTTGTGTGTATGTATGTGCGTGTGTGCGTAGTGTATGCATTCTGTCTTATTCAGTGCTCCTCCCCCCCCCCAAAAAAGGAAGTGTAGTTTGCACTTAATAATTCCACCCTCCTTCAATTTATGAAAAAGTCTTTTACAACTTGTTATCAACCTTTATTTGTTTTATTTATTTTCTCTTTATCTTATTTCTGCTGACTTCTTTTGCTTGACCTCACGCTCTCCCTCTTTCTTTCTCTCTCTCTCTCACTTCCTCCTTCCCTACATATATTCTGAAATCCTCTTTCTTTTACAACTATACATATATATATATCACGAGAAGCTCTGAAAGCGTGAGAAATTTCACAGTCCACAATATTATGATGATGTATATTTATATACGCTTCAAATTTCTCTATCGGATTTTATGTGCCTTCAAAAAGAAAGTTAGAAATCTACAGTTTTCACTTTGTTTTATTACACATAATCAAGACTACCACTACTTGTGTGTTGTGTGCACGTGTGCAAAAACTAGTTTTAATGTGAACATATCGTTCATTTTCTCATTGTCTCTAGTTGTGTGTATTTTTAGCGCCAACGAAAAGAATTATCAATCAATCAAGTAATACGCATTACGGTCTTAATTAGCCTGTAACTATGGGAACGCGCGCACGTGTGTGTGTGTCTGTGTCTGTTAGTTTGTGAAAGTCTGGCACTCGTTAGTGCTGACTGTAAATGACCTCTCCTCTTCTTTCTCTTTTCCTTTTTATTCAATGAGGCATGTAATGTTTTTCGATTATGCATTGTTATATTGTAGATTTTAAACACACCCACATATACATACATATGTAAAAATTCATTTTTGTTTAAGTTTTTATTCATGGGCCATTGGATTGGATTCGGATCCCATTGGTTTAATGGTCCACACAGCTCGCCTTGTAACTGGGGGATGGTCTTGGATGGAAATCTGATGAGTGCCTCTCACTGTGTTGATGATGGTGAAGAGTCTCAAATTAAGGTTGACGAAACAGCTAGATGTCCAGTGCTTCCAGTGCTGGTTCTCCAATAATAGTTCTCTAATCGATCGATGTCAACTCATCACATGATGAAATCCCTGTAACCACTAATTGAATCAAATCCCTATTATAGAGAAAGGCGTAAACAGCGAAGAAAATATTTTTCTTTTTGACGATTCACTTTCATGAGCTGCTGTACAGCCGAAATTATATTTAATAAAAAAATCATTAGACCAAAACAGATACTGGTAAACTTTGTCCTCGGAAAATGTATTATGTAATGTAAGGTGCGTCGGTGGCACAGCGCGGCTAGGACTCTCGTCGACCATGCACATGGTCCGGGGTTCGATACCCTGCCGATACACACCTGATATCTATGGTTGGCCTGCAAAATTTGGGCTACCGATATCACGTGCTGAAAATTCTATACTTGTACCAAAATACAGTTTGTAATCAAGCTATAATCAAAGTGAAAAAAAATAAATAAAAAGTAACCTAGAAGGAATGACTAATTGTAAGTTAGAAAAGAGATAGAGGTTGGCATAACGTAATAAGTGTGAGATAATGACTAATCAATAAGGTTGTGTAGAATGGACAGGAACCAGTCGAAAGGCGGCAAAGTGTTTTTTATTTATAAAATCTGTATGAAAAAGCAATGTTATTAGTAAACAGTAAAAGAATGATAATAAAATATGGATGATGGTATAATAATGGTAATAAAATAATAATAGTAAACTTACATAATAAAAAAGAAGCAAACTTATAGTAAGAACTTTACTCTGGCCACGGCAGGGGTGAGTGAATGTATGTATCACTTTTGAATGCAGAGGTCTGGTTTCAAATTATGAATAGCTAATGCTTCAGCTATGTACAGATGATGTATGCGAAGTTCCTTTGTACGAAATTGAGGGACTCTATATAGCTCTGTGAAGCATTTATGCAAGCGGGGTTGGTCGATATCCGGAGATGACACACGTGTTCGAGGATAGATCGGCTGCTATTCTTCTTTTCTCCTCTGGCTGGCTAACCAAGCTGTCCAGTGTTCCAGAATACGTTCGTGGACTTGACGTTGCGTATGGCCGATATACTTTACTCCACACGAGCAAGTAAAAAGTACGCCCCTATTCTTATGACTCAATATGGGAATATTTCTTTCGAATCCCTATAAACCAACAGTCGAATAAGTGTTATTCGACTGTTTTCCTCAAATCTTTTGTTAGTGTGATGGGATATTTTACTGGTTTCCAGTAATTGAAAACGACAAGCAATAAAAATATTAATAAAGCTGGATTTAGTGATTTCATCAACTTTCACTAGAACTAACTTTTCAACTGAATACTCTATACACAGGAATATGTAAAATTGAGATAAAATGTATTTACAGTCGCATTACATTGCTTACCAGTGGATAAAATAAACTTGAATGTATCAGTATTTTGTAACAGATTTTCCAGTTGTATCATGAACTAACTGATGTCAGTCAGAGAACCATTGGAAATCAACGCGAAAGTATTTGACAGCTCTGTTTTGAACCTCCTTCTTTGACAATCTCTCGAATGGTGGCAGAAGTTAGCATTCCATAGGCTGATCATTAGATTCCTTCTCAGTGGGGTTGAATGATGAATGGGTTCGCCTCGTGACCTGAAGTTCTCAGGTATGATTCTTAGTGTGTGTGTGTGTGTGTGAGGATTTCAGTGGATAGAGCTGGAGCATCTCAAACTAGAGACGGTGTAGATGTCTAGCACTCTGTGGTTGTCACTGGTTCTCTGACTGATATCAGTTTGTGAAAAAATAAAGATGAAGCGGATAAAACTTTCGGAGAGACAGAATTATTCGATGAATACTTTTGAAGTTTGGATAAGAGGTGAATATTTCGCCAAAGACGATGATTTTAAGCCATGCTAGCTAAGTTCGGCAATGATTGGTTTTTAGCATCCTGTGGAGCCCCCCCGCCTTACACGATTCATACCAATAATCGCTAGCTTTATATTCTGTTTGGACCACTTCGAACTCTTCATCAGATTGGTTTTATTTTAGCTAATCACGTGATATCGGTGTTCCTGGTGAAGAGAATCTACGTAGCTTATACATTTATGGTCCATAAATCGCATTGCTGAAGGTCAGTTGTGCGTTTAAACAACGCTTCTTTTAGATATGCGGTTGGTTCGATATATATTTGCACGCTTTGTGGTGGATGGACGGCAGATTATTCGCCAACCAATCGAGTGTTTTGGGTTTGATTCTCAACCGACAGATGTGTTCCTTAACATTGCCTTGCTGGCAGTAATCCGAGAAAAAGCGAAAGTTGGGTGGGAAGTCAGCGTCTCTTCTCGGGCTGGATCAACAACACCACCACTGGTGAAATTTCAGAACTTGAATGCGCCTATGTTCCTCCCCTTCGAAATGCGAGGGAGATGGAAAATAAACATTTGGACAGGATAAATATTGTTTTTGTGAGTAGCATTTTTGCAGAGCTAGACTGCGTTTGAAGGCAGTCACATTCATATTCTTTTTACAATAAGTGAATTGACAAGTATCACGTGGTAGAGTACATGCATAGCTGTTTCATTATGAGCTCTAGGATTTCGGAAAGCGTTTGTACGATTAGATGGTAGGCTGATCACTGCACATTCGAAATTCATCGAAGAGGTTGACCAACCTTGTAAACTTTCCGTAGATTATAAAGTCGGTGATTTACTGATCCTGTCTGTCTTAAGTACGCGGAACAACTGCATAGAACTGATCCCTAAGATATACTTTACCGTAGCTCAGTTGTTCACGAATGATGAATTGAGTCAATAAGGCTTCCAGTATGTTGCTGAAGCTTTTACAAAACCATTTCCGATAATCATGATGCCTGGTGTAGTCTTCCAGGAAGATAAATTTAGTATTTATTCCAGCAAGTGTGGCAGAGTTCCACATTAATCCACTGAGTTACTTCATTGTGAAGGGGTGTTTGTGTATTTTTCAAATAATGTAAAATATTTATCAAGACGTCAGCTGGAGTCGACATTAGAAGAATCTGCATGTCTCACTTCTTAATAGTTCCTGGCTGAAAATCGATACCCAGAAGAGTTTGTATTGAGAAGCATCAGTAGGAATGTTTCTGACTGCAGTACTCACTGGGTGATGCGGGTTTGACTCTCGTAGGTTCCTTCAAGGTTGCATATATGCCTTGCTGACTAGTAAGTGCCAACCAGCACAAAGTCTACTTCCAAGGTTTCCTGCTGATTGTCTCCAACAGTTCAAAGTGCACCCTCGGGTGTCGAGATACCTATTGGCTTGAGGGCTACATTGCAGACTTGACTGGTAGGATTCAATCTGCATCAAACAAAGGACTAGCTAGACACATCACACCAGTTATATGCCCTTGATTGCGTCCGGTTATGAAGGCTTACACATTTAATGTATCAGTTTACCTTATCCTTAACTGATTAAAACTGCCCAACAAGATTTTCGAAGGAATGGTTACTGAACATAGAATATTCTTTCAATAACCCCTTCTTCATCATGTTCTATAGTTGTATATACGTAATAGTGAATGAATTGACCTCAATGTCGTTTAATCAACGTCAAATCTAAGTAAACTAGAAAATGGACCTTTGAACAACTTTATCAGAAAGTTCTCATTTTATTGCTGGTATATGGATGACACCTTTATTCTTTGTGATAATGATTCGGATAGGAACACAATAATAACTGAATTCAATGAAGTACATTGTGCTATGAAATTCATGTGCGAAGAGGAATTCCAAAAGAGAATTGCCCTCCTGGATGTCCTCCTTACAAGAAAGCCAGATAGTAGCATAAAAAGAAATTTGCATAGGGAAGGTACATGGACGGGACAATATGTACATTTTCACAGCTTCATTCCTCTGAAGTACAAAGGAAATTTAGTAAAGATCCTCAGCTACAGAGTTAGAGCTATATGCTTAGAAGAGGTAATTGAATATGAATTAAGCATTCCATATGGTACTTTGATCGGAAACAGCTATCCCCACAAACTTATCAAGAAAAACATGATAAAGAAAGCGGAAAATGATTACCAACTATCTGTAAACAAGAAGCCTCTTTATATATGAGTGCAATTGAAGGGCGATATACCAAGTGAAATAATTACGAAGAAATTAAGAAAATCAGTTCAAAGAACATTTAATGCTGGTGAGCTACACGTCTTATTCTCTACACGACCGATGGTGGTGATTCCACAATTGAAAGATGAAGCACCTAGACTAGCTAGCCACTTCCGATTGTATCTACCAATTCAACTGCGCTTGTGGTGGAGCGAGTTATATCGTCCATTTCTCTAGGAACTTGAATTTTCTTGCTCGTTCGAGAACATCTCCCAGTATGACTAAGTAAAGGTGTAGTAGAAACCATCAACAGTTCGATATTAGACCATCTGCTCCAAACAGTCCAGAAAGCCAGCCAGCATTGAAGAATCCTTCTGTATCATCTACCGAGTACCAAATAAATTGCCGAAAACACCGAGGTACCGCATGCTCCAAAGAGCAGAGGCTATCGTGATTTGCGTGAAACAATCAGTGCTTTGTGTACAAAAGAAGCAAGTCCAATCAGCGAATACTACTGTCCTGGCTATAGAGACTATAAATCCATGAATTTGTATGATTATTATCTTTCCTAATTTGGATATCTGATATATTCAGTGTAGTGTATTATTGTTATGTTGATGCTGTCGAAGTGTAATCCATTGATATTGCTATTTCTATTGATTCAATGTTATTTCCAAAGCATTAATGTTGTTAATAACACTAATTCATTCATTCATTCAGTATTACGTATATATGTGACTGCAGA